AAAAAAAAAAGCTTCGATCATGACATCTGTCGATGCTCGGCTTGGGCGGAGTCTATATACTCTCACCACTTCGGCAAAAGCACCGAGAGGGCACACTATAAATGATCTTTGATTAGGCTCATATATTCGACCCACCGAAATTCGATGTCAATTCAGCCACAAATTCTCGATTATTGCACGAAGGGAGCGATCGAGGCACATGCAGCATGGCTGTTCTGGTGTCGCTTGTATACGGGCAACGCAATCAAGGTCCAAGCTCGGCCTTTGTCGGGTATAGAGGACCGAATTTTGATGAGTGTGAGAGCTCCGATCACGTGTCCACTGGCTCGCTCCACTTCATCAAGCTCTGAATCGGGGGCTCTCGTGAAAGTCACGAATGAATCAACTCACACTCACGACTGTTTATCAGCGCCGCCTCGGCTTTTTTAGGATCGCGCCCTCCTCATCACCCGTTCACGTTGCTCAGGTGTCCTGATCGACTTTTACGGTGCTACAACTGTATACAAGCGCTGGCGCGCCCAGACAATTTCCGCTCATTTGCACTTTCCTTCTGCCAGACGCCCTTTACGGCATCTATTCCTTATTCCGCACTTGGCGCAGACGTGCTCGGTCGACAAGTCGCAAGAGGTGTATTCTGCGCAAATGATGCGAATGGTGTTGACTGGATGCTGAAGCGGGACAATATTCAGCAGGGCCCGCACCATCACGCTCACGACAATCCTCCTCTAGACCAGCCGGTCCTGTAGCGATCGAAAGCAAAAGTGCACTTCGACACGGGTCCCAACGCAATTTCAACCGCGGCCCCCCTTTCCACACGATCAGCATGGATGCGTTTCCCTCGATTCACAGCTTTTGACTTGAGTAAAGAGTCACCTCGGCGTCGGGTATCTCCACGCCTCTTACACTTGGTGGCACTGCTAAGGTCTGTGAGTGACCTACTGCCCCTTCACCTGGCTTCCATCCTAGCCGAGTCGCTAGGTCTCGAGTGGCTGCGACGCACAGCTCCATTCGTGGCTGCCAAAGACCACGTCATCCACCATCGCAGCCCTGGCACTGCAAGCGTGAGACTCGCGATCAGTGCCTGAGTCACGCTACACACGCTTACGTCGCTTCGGATTACGCACGTCTCTTCAAGCACCTCTCCGGACACCAGCCGTGGTTCGATCGCTCCTGCCAGGCGGTTACAATTAAGCGAATACGGGTGCACAAGGAGTGCGATCGTATGTCAGTTGACGCATTTGTGTCTGGTGGATCACACAGGCTGCAGACGAAACGCCGATGCTAGCCGCCCCTGGAAAAGGCACACACGTGTTCGGATCCTTTGACCCGATTGCGACATTCTGCGACACTGGGTCATCGTGTTCGTCAGAGAATGTCATACACGCACATCCTCTAGCTTCGTCTGCATGAGCCAGTGCTGGGCTGCGGCGACCAGCATTTTGAGATCATATCAGAAATCGGAAGCGTCTTTCCGCAAAACTGCAATTCGCCAGCATCCATCGTGCGACGGCTATCGCAGAAAGAGGCGGGGCGTTGACCACTGTTGGGCGTCCCGACGGGCCCGCCGTCGCCCGCATATTACGCAAAGGTCGCTGCACCACATTCGTGATTTGTCTACAAGGACAAGACGTCTGCTTCGATTGCATCGCTCTACTAGACAACCTCTTCGCAACGACCGCTTGCCTACCTTCTCACATCGTGTCAAGTGTCACATCTCCTCCACGCAAGATGGTCTTCGAGGACATTGCGAGGCTATGCTGGCAGAGGACGACCTTCGATTACCTCGCAACCTTCTCGGGGTGGCTTGTGCCTTCCCGAGAGGATCGCTACGAGCACTCTATGTGGACTTTGCTTCTCCAAACAACTCTGCCCAACCTGTTGCTCGTTCTACACGCTCATCTCTTCCTTCGCTACCCCCAACGGCGATCTCCAAGACTTATTTTGATGCCAATCATCGTGCTGACCGCTCTGCGCTGCGCCTTTGCCGGAAAGATCAATCCTCGCAAGTTCAATCAGTACAACTTTATGACGTCCGTAGCTGCCGTCTACACCAGTTGCAGAGCTGTGGTCTGGGCCTTTCCAAAGAAGGCCCCCCAATGGACCGGCAACGATGATCATGTGAGTGAATGCAATCATGCTTGCACGGCGCCCGCCGTGTCCGCCAAACGCTCAATATGAGCCCAGCTTACGGTCACTTTGGATCCCGCCGTCCACTCTGCGGGCGTTGACAGCTACCGCTCGCTGTCGAGTTGGTGATGACGCAACGAGGCGCTTGTTGGGACTGGGGCATCCCAAAACCGCCCACAAAGCCTCATCAAGAGTTCCTGTGGGACAGCTTCAAAATTTCAGCCACTGGGCTCATCCTCTTTGACCTTCTTACAACCTTCATCCAGCATCCCGCCGTGACACCTAAGAACGAGCTGATGACATTAGAGGAGTGCAGCAACGGTGTCCTCGGCGACTATCACCTGATTGTGGGTGAGTGATGTTAATCGTCGGACGCATGATGTGACGCATGCGGC